CTCCCACAGTGAGCCTACCAGGAGCGGAGGAGCTGGGACTGGAAGCAGGCACTTGAGATGAGACGCGGGGGGCACCGGGGCTCTCTCAGCTGCTGCAGCACCTGCTGGCTCTGTGTTTGTCCGTCTGACTGTGTCGAGCCGTGAAGTGGCGTCTTGTCATAGTCTCATTTGCATTCCCCTTAGTGGACGAAGGCATGCAGCATCTTTTTATTTGCATGTCATCTTTAGAGAGAAGTCTAAGCAAATATTTTGCCCAATTTTAATTGGGTAATTTGTCTTCTCATTGTTAGGCTGTATGACTTCTGCATACACATTAGACATACGACTATTCACTCCCATTCTACGGACTTACTGATAGTCTCTTTTGAAGTATCTCTGCTTGCAATTTTGATAAAGTTTAGTTTTCTGTTTTTGATGTCACATTTGGGAAACCAAATGTTGTGTATACACAACCAAAAGTTGTGTATACAACTTCACACACAAAAAAATCCTTGCCTATGTTTCTTTGGAGAGTTTGCTAATTTTATTCTTACATTTGGGACTTTGATCCACTTTCTATTCACTTTGTATCTGGTGCATGGCAGGCTCCATTACATTTTCCTAGGATAGACGTTCTGTTGTCTCAACATTGTTGATGGAAAGGGTGATTCTCCTTGCCATTGAGTTGTCCTGGGATCCTTATTAAATATTGATGCATAAAGAGCATGAGGGTTTATTTCTGGTGCTCAGTACTGTTCCTTGGATTTATGCACCTGTCTTTATGCCAGTGCCATGTTTCCTTCAATACTGTAGCTTTGGAGTAAACTTAGAGATTGATGGGTGAGTCCCTTAACATTGTTGTTCTTTGTAAATATAGGCCTGGCTGCTCTGGGTCCCTGAATTATCATGTGGATTTTGGGATCCATTTGTCAATATCTGTGGAAAAATGCTGAGGTTTGTGTGGGGTATGTGGAGCCGTCTGGGATGGCAGTCTTAGTGATATTCAGTAACATAGTCCATGAACATGGGATGCCTTTCCATTTATTTAGTTTTGAAAAACTTATTTCACCTTAAAAAAAGAGATTTATTTATTTATTTATTTTTATTGGAAAGGCAGGTATACAGAAAGCAGAAAAGACAGAGAGAACGATATTTTCTCTGCTGGTTCACTCTCTAAGTGGCCACAATGGCCAGAGCTGAGCTGATCTGAAGCTAGGAGCCAGGAGTTTCTTCTGGGTCTCTCATACAGGTACAGGGTCCCAAGGCTTTGGCCCGTCCTGCACTGCTTTCCCAGGCCACAAGCAGGGAGCTGGATGGGAAGTGGAGCAGCTGGGATACGAACCAGTGCCCATATGGGATCCAGGCACAAGCAAGGTGAGGACTTAGCCGCCAGGATGTCACACAGAGCCCTCTTTCCACCTTTTACAGCATCCAAGTCTTGCACTTCTGTTAAATGTCTTACCGATGAACCAAGTGTCATTCATTCCATTCTGGAAGCGTTCATTGCTGGTGTGTGGAAATCACGTTTGAGACCTGGCTGACTCTTTTTTGGCAGTTTTGTTTTGTTGTCAGTGTGTGTGTGTCTTGGGGTGTTCCACACAGAGGTCATGCCATGTAACCTGTGTTTCCAGTTTCTTCTGCCCAACTGCCTGCCAGAAGCGAGTGTTGACTGAAGTGAGAGATTTCCCTTTGTTTTCTCTGTGGGGGCAGGTGCTCGGTCTGCTGTCCTAAACGTGAACGTGGCACCAAATGCCCTCTCTAGACTGAGGGCCTACCTGTCAGTTTCGTTTTTTTAAGCAAAGGGAGTTGGTATTTATAAGACATGTTTTCTGCCTTAATGGAGACAGGCATATTCTTAGCTTTATTTCTCTGTTGGTTTTTGTGGGTTGTCTGTGCTTGGTCAGGATGTGTAATCCTAAGGATTTTGCATGTCAGTGGCCTGCCGTTTCCTTTCTTTGCTTCACCTGTGTGTGGGTTTCAAGTCCATGTAGCTGCTGGCCACATGGTGTAATTTGGGGAGTGTCCCTGCCCCTCTCCCAGGAGGAGAGAGAGTCTGTGGGGGGTTCCTGCTAATTCTTTGTTAAACGCTAGGTGGACTGTGTCATTGAAGCCGGCTGCCCCTGGGTTTGTCTCTATTGAAAATTCTCCACGCTTAATTCAATTTCTCTATTTGTTATATCGACTCAGCTTTTCTACTTTTTATTAAATAAATGTTGGTAGTTTTTGTCTTTGTAGACCTTTCCTGCTCCCTCTGGTGATCTTGTTTATTGGTCTTCTCTTCTGTGCAGTCCCTTTTGTCGCTGTGAGGCCCACGTCCATGTCCCCCTTTTCACTTCTTTTTAAAACAATGCACCCCCTTATTTTTGATGAAAAAGGTCCCCAGCTGTGTTCATCTTTTCAGCAAACCAGCTCTTACTGGTTTTGATTCTCTCTGTTGCACCTGGCTCTATTTCTCTTCCCCTAGTTCATGTGTCTCCACTCCAGCATTTATCCTTGCCGTTCTAATCCTCGCTTTCAGCTGGCTTTGGTTATTGTTTCTTAGTTATTGAGGTAGAAGCTTAGATTATTGCCTTGAAGGATTTCTTTTTCTTTTCCCCCCGATGACACTGTTGCTGTGAAAGACGTGCAGGGATGGTTCTCCCCATGCCCTCTCGCCTCCTGCCATGGCCTGTGGGCGTTTCTGCAGAAGCCCCCCCGGCTTTCCGGCTGCTGCTGTGACACGCGGGTTGTTGCTGAATGTCCACTCGCCTGCGAGGCTCTCCCTGGTTTCACTTGGAGACTCTCAGCGCACCTGTGGTGCCACTGTCAGCTCCAGGTGTTGTTACCCTCGAGAAGGCAGATGGCGTGGCCTCCCCTGCCCTCCACTCTGGAAAGCCGAGGCACACAGTGTGGTTTTTATTTTGTGATGTGGGTTCTCTCCATTCCACAAACGAACATGTCGGCAGCAGGAAGCCGGTGTGTGGGCTGATGGTGAAGGTGCCACGTCCCACCTGGGCACACAGGGGTGGGTGCTGATGGTGAAGGTGCCACATCCCACCTGGGCACACAGGGGTGGGTGCTGATGGTGAAGGTGCCACGTCCCACCTGGGCACACAGGGTGTGGGGCTGATGGTGAAGGTGCCACGTCCCCCCTGGGCACACAGGGTGTGGGGGCTGATGGTGAAGGTGCCACGTCCCACCTGGGCACACAGGGTGTGTGGGCTGATGGTGAAGGTGCCACGTCCCACCTGGGCACACAGGGTGTGGGTGCTGATGGTGAAGGTGCCACGTCCCACCTGGGCACACAGGGTGTGGGGCTGATGGTGAAGGTGCCACATCCCACCTGGGCACACAGGGGTGGGTGCTGATGGTGAAGGTGCCACGTCCCACCTGGGCACACAGGGTGTGGGGGCTGATGGTGAAGGTGCCACGTCCCACCTGGGCACACAGGGGTGGGTGCTGATGGTGAAGGTGCCATGTCCCCCCTGGGCACACAGGGTGTGGGGCTGATGGTGAAGGTGCCATGTCCCCCCTGGACACACAGGGTGTGGGGCTGATGGTGAAGGTGCCATGTCCCCCCTGGGCACACAGGGTGTGGGTGCTGATGGTGAAGGTGCCACGTCCCACTGGGTGTAGCCACCTGCAGCACCGGCTCTGCCTCCAGCTCTCTGCAGTTGCGTATCTGGGGCGGCTGTGGGGACTGCTGGAGCGTGCGATCCTCACTCCTGTATTGGAGCTCTGGGCTGAGTCCCTGCCTCCGGCTGCTGCCTCCAGCTGCTGTGGGCACACGGGGGGTGAGTCAAGGGGTAAGGACTTGCTGTCTCTGACTCCCAAAGAAGATACAATAAAACACTTGTTAAGACATTGGCATGGAATTACAATTTTGTCAGAACGTGCCAGTGGGGAGGACTGTCCATCAGAGCCCAGTCCTGTCCATGTGGGGCAGCAGGGGGCGTGTCCTTGGCTTCTCATTTAACTTTCCCAATGAGCCCAAACTGCACCAAAACCCTCATTTCTTTTACTATTTCTATTTGATATAATACTATTTAGAATTTTTTTTTTAAATTTGTAGTTAAAAGAGAGGGAGGGACAGAAAAGGGAGATCTTTTATGTACTGGCTTGCCCCCCAACAAGTGGCCACAAGGACCAGGGCTGGGCTGGGCCAAAGCCAGGAGCTTCTGCCAGGTCTCCCACGTGGGTGTAGGACCCGGATTGGAAGTGGAGCAGCTGGGACTTGGCTCTGAAGCTGGTGTTGTAGGTGCAGCGTTAGAGTGCTGAGCCACAGCCATCTCCACACTTGTTCATTAGACATTCTGAGTAGCCATCTGATGATGGGAACTCAGGGAACCACAGAGAACATGGTGCATTTGAGTCAGTTACCAAGAGATGAGGCAGGGAGGAAGGGGGCAAGAGAAGTCTTTCATATGCTGCTTTACTTCCCAGATGGCGTGAGGCCAGGCTGGGCTTGGCTGGAGCCAGGAGCCTCTTCCGGATCTTCCGTAAGGGTGCTGAGGGCCCAGGCACGTGGGCCATCTCACGCTGCTATTGCCGGGCCTTTACCTGGGAGCTGGAAGGACAGTGACCCCTAATCATGTTGCTCACCGCTCGGATGCTGAACCTTGTAGCTTAGAAAATCTCACGATTCCCACTAGATCCCAAAGCCCAGGGAGTTTGCATCCATGATCCACGGGCACAGAGAGAAGTAGCAAAAGCCAGAACTAGGACCCGGCATGTGCCTCATGATTGGAGAACCTGAGAATGTGGGTGAGATGACCCAGGCATTTCCGGGGCGGTGCTTGGGCTGTGGGATGGGCAGGAGTGAGCTGTGAGTGGGTTCTCGAGCAGGAGTGATGCCCAGCATCTCACTCAGCAGAGCAGTCTGCTGCCCACCGAGCCCGAGGAGGCGTGGGCACTGCTGGGTGGCCGTGAGTCAGGTTCTGCCGAGTGGAGCGTGGACAAAGATGAATGCTGCAGCTTCCTGCAGCCTTGGTGTCCCGCTGAGCCCGGCTTCCACACTGAGCTCTCCTGTGCTTCTCTCCTAGGGCAAATGGCTCCTTGCACGAGATCCTGCAAGTGGACTTTGGAGTGGACAACAGCAGCGGCCTGGCAGGGGCCCAGCAGATCACCTGGCAGGTGGAGTACCCGCTGGAGGACGCCACGAGTGCACTGGTTGTCTCTGAGATCTTTGTCAGCCAGACCAGCTTTGTGGGCATCGTCCCTCTGGCCATGGTGAGAAATCGGGGCTCGGGAGCGTCTCCCGAGAGCCCTCTCCCTGATGGCTTCTGACAGGGAAATACGCTCTGTGTTGCATCTTAGCTGTGGGTTTCATGACTGCTTGGAAAGGACTTGGGGTTCGCTGTGCGGCTCCCCTTCTTTGGCGGAGGTGTCTGAGTGGTGTCCGGGGCAGCCCTTGCTCTCCATCGTCTGCTACCCCCTGCCCCCATGTCCGTCATGGTTGCGCTGAGTGAAGAGGGCTTTCTGGAAGAGGATCGGGGTTCTGTGGCAGGAATGGCAGCTGTCAGCCAGGGGCCAGCCCCTGTGGCAGGCTTCAGCTGAGAGTGCCCAGTCGTGTGGGGACCAGTCAGCTGTCCCCAGGTGGCGTCCTGTCCACAGAGTGCTGGGTGCTGCTTGGTTGGCTGGCCAGTGACTGAATCCTCCCCTGACACTTGGCTGGAGCCCTGTCCGCTGCCACACTCGGGGCTACTCCAGGGGTCCCTGTGGACACCCCTTGGAGACAACAACCTGTGTTCTGCCATCCCTTGCCTGGGGTCCTGAGAATACTCCAGGCTGCCCCCTTCTTTTCCCAGGCCATCTGTTAGGGAGGCAGCTTCCTTGCCTACACGGGCTGAAATCTGCACCTGCTCCCTGCTAGCCTGTTCTAACCACACTGCCCGTGGTTACCTTCTTGGACATCACCTGTGGGTGCTCAGGGTCCGTTGGCAGTCTTCCTCCACAGCAGGACTGGCAAGAGAAGGGCTCTGGTCAGTTTTGTCCCTTTTTGTGCCCTATTGTTCAGCCATCACTGCTTGCTGCCTTGTTCTGTAGCCCAGGCCCCTCAGCAGCCATGGCTTAGTGAGAGGGAGCATGAAGGGCCGAAAAGAGTGGTGAGCCTGTCCTGCCTTTCCCCTGGTGGTGCTGGTGGTGATGGCGGTGGTGGTGGTGGTGGGGGGGGTGTTGGTAAGGGGGTTGGTGGGGTGGTGGTGGTGGGGGTGCTGGTGGTGGTGGGGGTGCTGGTGGAGGTGGGGTGCTGGTGGTGGCGGTGAGGGTGCTGGTGGGGGTGGGGTGCTGGTGGTGGTGGTGAGGGTCGGGGGTGGGGTGCTGGTGGTGCTGGGGGTGCAGGGTGTTTTGGGGACTGTGGTTCCCCACCTGGCCCATCGTGGTCCAGCTTCCCTTAGCACTGACTCAGCCTTGGGGCTTGTGAGGCTGGGTGGTGCTGGGTGTCACAGCACCTCTGTCGTGAGGGGTGTCCCAAGGACCAGTGCCCAGGGGAAGTGGGTCCCACTACCAGGGCTCCAGGGCAGGGGGAGGCCTCCAGAGGTGTCCATAGTTTCCTGGCTGGTAGGATAGCAGGGCCAGCTGGCCATAGGGTGAGGCACTTGACACCCAGCTACTCAAGGAAGAGGCTGAAAAGCAGCGGCTGCTGTGTGCTGCAGGAGGGGGCTGGACACGGCCGGTGCACTCAGGAGCCTGTAGAGGGAGGGGGCCGTGGGACACAGTCCCTGCTGGACACGGCAGGTGCACTCAGAGCCTGCAGAGGGAGGGGCCAGAACCAGAATCCAGACTGTCTCCTCCAGGGCTGTTGTGCCTATACTCCAGCAAATTAGAGACTGCAACAGAGTGTGGCTCCTGGACAGCCGTCTGCCCACCTTCCTTAAGCGTGTATCCCGTCTGCGTAATGCTAGTGGCCGGGAAGCTTCTCAAACCCTTGTTATCCGTCCATCCATGCATCTATCCACCCATCCACCCATTCATTCTTCACTCCTCCTTTGTCTTCCTCATTGCAGAGTTCAGCAGCGGCTGGCTCTCTCACTGGCTCTAAATTTACAAATGGCTGACCTGTCCTTTATGATCGGCCTCAACTTCCTCTTTCTGAGGGTGGGAATCATGAGTGGCAGTCCCTGGTGTCCCCACCAGATGGCGCTAGCAGACCAGATTGTGGCCACAGGTGCCCTCCTGTGCCCTGTGCACTCACCCCCCAGGGCTCCTTGAACACCTGCCCTGTGGGCCCCTTCTCGCCCACTCGCTGGACACCTCTTTGTGACCTTCAGTTTGCAGGGAGGCCCATGTTCGCTCCTTGTGAGCAAATGAAGGCTCCTTCCGGCGGCCCCACCTGGCGCTCAGCACTGCACCTGACACCTGGTCCCTGTGTCCTGCGCAGGTGTCCCCTCCCCCAAGCCAGCATTGTGCCTGCCGGGTGGGGAGCTGCCTCCGCAGGCCCCAAGGTTTCTGTTTAAAGCCTCACTTGCTCATGGCCGCGCCTTTGGATGACCTTGGGGGGCGTAAGGTCCCCAGCATCCCAGCATCCTCATCAGATGTGTCATCCATCCTCCCGCTCAACCCGCCCATGTCCACACCAGCTTGAGGAGGCCGGCTGGGCACAGAGCGCAGGTGGACATGGTGCTTTGTAGCCGTGAGGTCGTTCTCTTTCCTTTTTTTTTTTTCCTTTAATGTTTCACTTATATTTAAGAGAAAGCAAAGAGTATAATGTGAAATTTCTGGGATTGAGAAAGTGTTAATTACCATGAGAGAGACTGGGTTTTTCAAACGGCAGCTAGGGGAGGCAGACTGGGGCAGCAGCAAGCCGACGAGGGACACTGCCTTGTGGCTGCTGTTGCTGTTAACTGTGCTGGCCCCCAGCAAGGCTGTGTCCGCTGCTTCAAGTACCTGCATCACGTTCAAGGGTGGACGCTGAGCTTCTCAGAGTGGGATCGCTAACCGCTCATGCTGTGCCACTCATCGGCATTGCACACCATGAAGAACGCCCCTTGTCCGTTGCGTCAGCTGCGTTCAAGTGCTTGGTGGTTGCCGTTGTCTGGCAGCGCAGGGAGCAGTCCGGGCTGAGGCGAATCCTGCTGGATGGCGTGGGTATTGACTGACAGGTGAATAAATAGCGCCCTGAAATGTCTTCCCGCTTTACTTGCCTGAATATTTATCACGTGCACCTGAGGGCTTCAGAAAGCTGTGGGAAAAGGGCATGAAAAGGCGAGTTTATTTCGGTGCCAAAAGTTTAGAAATTTATGTGTTCAAGGAGCGAGAGAACCAAAGCCAGGAGCCAAGAATTGGAACCAGGCCCCCCATGTGGGTGGTGGGGACCCTGGAACTTGGGCCATCGCCACCTGCTGCCTCCCAAGGCATTAGCAGGGAGCTGGGACTTGAACCCAAGCACCTTGATATCAGACATGGCGTCCCAAGTGTGTGTCAGATGCCTTCACCAACTTGCCTTTTAATGCTGTTTCCCCCACAAACTTTGTTGAGGACCCTCGTGTGCGTGAGAGAGTGAAGGGACGGTGAAGGGACGGTGAAGGGACTCCTTCGTCTGTGTTGATGTCTGTTTGCTTGTTGAAAACGAGCTGGCTATGCAGGTGTGAGTTCATTTCTGGGATCTATTCTGCTCCCTTGATCTTCGTGTCCGTTTTGATTACAGCTGATCCGCAGTATATCTGGAAGTCCTGTGTTGTGGTAGCTGCGGCTTTGTTTTAATTGTGTAGGATTGCTGTAGCTATTCAAGGTCTTTTGTGTTTCCATATGAATGTTAGCATCTTTTCCTGAGAAGAGAGTCACAGGCATTTTGATTGGAATCACATTAAATGTGTACATTCCTTTAGGTAACATGGGCGTTTGAGATGTTGATTCTACCAGTCCACATACGTGGCAGACTTCCCATGTTTTGAAGTCTTCTATTTCTTTGTTCAGTATTTTGTCGTTTTCTTCATGGAGATTCTTCATGTCCATGGTTAAATTCGCTCTAGGCCTTACACGTTCTTTCTCAGCCGTGGAGTTGTCTGTGCACAGAAAGGCCACTTTTATACATATTTCTATGTGTTGACTGTGTTGCAACCTTGCCAGATTCCCTTTGAGCTCCAATTGTTTCTTGCAGAGACTTCGGCTCCTCCGTCGTGTCATCTGCCAGAGGACAGCTCATCCTCCTTCTTCTGCCACCACACCCCCATTTCTAGGTTCAGGCCCTCCATGGTACTTGTTATCTGGTGTACTGAACACTTGATTGCCGACATTTCTGTTTAACATAGCTGTCTCTTTGCAGGCTCTCCCATCCATCTCGTACAGACTTCCTGACTTCATCGAAGTCTCTCTCTCCCTGTCTCTTTGCCTTTCTCTCTGTCTCTCTGTCTCTCTCTCTCTCTCTCTCTCTCTCTCTCTCTCTCACAATTCCTTCTCAGGTGTTTCTTTGATCCTGCCTCCACACAGTCCAGTATTAAGGAGTGCTGTTCCTTGTTGGGAGTCACATTGTCTTCCTTTCCTGTTGATTTTTGTGCCTTATGGAGGCTCTCATCATTATTGCCTCTGGGAGCCTTTTTTTTAAACTGATGGATTTCCTCTGGGAACTGTGCCTCTTTGATTTAGGGAGGTGCCTTTGGCTTACACCGTAATTGCAGGGATGTGTACTGTCTGATACCCTAGAGCCCCAGCTGCACCTGTCGGTGGGACCAGAGTCCAGGATGACATCTGAGACATGCAGCTGTTACAGTCAGTGAGCCCAGGTTACCGTCTCAGAGGGAAGGGCCAGGTGGGGGTGACCCTGGGGGAATAGCCATGGTGTAAACATGAGTGGTGTTGAACCCAAGAGCCAGAGAGATGAGATTCATAATGGGAGAGTCATGTATTTTTAATTTTTTAAATTCTCATTGAGTTTTGCTGTGTGTGGAAAGTTATAAACATCAAAGCAACCCCATGGAGGCAATGTGGATATATTTCTGAAAACAAAACCAAGTGTGGATTGAGCACAAATGCTTTCTAAGAATGTTTCTAAGAGCTACAGCCTCTGTCCCTGCTGTATGTCTACAGTTCAAGTGTCCTTCCTGCGAAACCAGAGCACCCCTTGTGGCCTTCTGAGCCAGCGAAGTGGACATTCTGTGCGTGGCACTGGCCGCAGGGGTGGGCATAATCATTGGTGCTGGTGTGGAGTGGACGCTCTGTGCTTGGCACTGGCCGCAGGGGTGGGCATAATTATTGGTGCTGGTGAGAAGTGGACGCTCTGTGCTTGGCACTGG